ATAGCTCAACTGGAATTCTATCACCTCCACTAGCTTTGTTTGTAGTGATGTTTCCTAAGGCCCACTTGACTTCACACTCCAGGATGTCTGGCTCTAGGTGAGTGATCACACCATCGTGATTATCTGGGTCATGAAGATTTTTTATGTGTAGTTGTTCTGTGTATTGTTGCCACCTCTTCTTAATATTTTCTGCCTCTCTTAGGTTCATACCATTTCTGTCCTTTAAAAGATTCTACAGGCACTAAAAAAAAAAAAACCCATGCTGTAGTCCATGGGGTTGCAAAGAGTTGGACACCACTGAGTGACTGAACAACAACTTGGTCTTAGTTGTGGCATGTGAACTCTTAGTTGCGGAATGTGGGGTCAAGTTCCCTGACCAAGGATCACACCCAAGCCTTCTGCATTGGGAGCATGGAGTCTTAGTCACTGGGCCACCAGGGACATCCCTTTAGGCACTTTTTATATTTGTTTTTAAGAAATCACTATTCTAAAACATAAAATCATTATCAATATGAACTATGTATTAGTTTGTTAGACAAATATGTTATATTGATTTAATATAAACAACTCCTTAGGACAATAATTAAATTATTAATCTAGAAAACCGTATAATGTATTTATATTATAATGAAGGACATAATTTAATTATATTCTCTTCAGTTCAGTTCAGTCGCTCAGTTGTGTCCGACTCTTTGCGACCCCATGAATCGCAGCACGCCAGGCCTTCCTGTCCATCACAAACCCCCGGAGTCTACTCAAACTCATGCCCATCGAGTCGGTGATGCCATCCAGCCATCTATCCTCTGTCATCCCCTTCTCCTCCTGCCCCCAATCCCTCCCAGCATCAGGGTCTTTTCCAATGAGTCAACTCTTTGCATGAGGTGGCCAAAGTATTGGAGTTTCAGCTTCAGCATCAGTCCTTCCAATGAACACCCAGGACTTATCTCCTTCAGGATGGACTGGTTGGATCTCCTTGCAGTCCGAGGGACTCCCAAGAGTCTTCTCCAACACTACAGTTCAAAAGCATCAATTTTTCGGCGCTCAGCTTTCTTCACAGTCCAACTCTCACATCCATACATGACCACTAGAAAAACCATAGCCTTAATCAGATGGACCTTTAGGCCAGCTTAAATTGACTTTGCAGCCTGAGTTCTTCAGTTCGTGTGTGCTCATGCATGTGGGTTGCAGGGATGTTTGTACAGACTATTCACCTGAATACCATCTATTTCCTGGGCCCAGTTCTGGGCCTGTAGGTTTTGAAAATTGTTTTCTTTGTTTCCTTTTTCAATTTCTTGGCTTCCTTCCCATGTCTCTTTTTACCACTTCCCAGCTGGGCTCTAGTTTTTAATTCTAGATACCAGTATCTTCCTCCTGCAACTTGCTTCTCAGGGCGCCTCTCATTAACCTTCAGGACTCCAAAATTCCCTCTCTTCTTACCTTCCCATCAAAACTCATTCACACAGTCGTGTCCAACTGTTTGTGACCCCATGGACTATATAGTCCATGGAATTCTCCAGGCCAAAATACTGGAGTGGGTAGCCTTTCCCTTCTCCAGGGGATCTTCCGAAACCAGGGATCGAACCCAGGTCTCCCGCATTGTGGGCGGATTCTTTATGAAGTGAACCACAAGGGAAGCCCAAGAATACTGGAGTGGGTAGCCTATTCTTTCTCCAGCAGATCTTCTGGACCCAGGAATTAAACTGGGGTCTCCTGCATTTCAGGCAGATTCTTTACCAACTGAGCTATCAGGGAAGCACCATTCTGAGTCAGGAGTATTTATTGGTATCTTCTACTTACTGAGGTTTGAATGTTTCTTCTTTTTCCCACTTTTAAGTAGTTTATTAGTAAAAAATAAATAGCTCTGTCACGGTGCATGTCAGGTCAGGCTGTGATGATAGTTTAATAAGCAAGGTTTCTTTTACTGCTCTGATTAATCTTCTCAAGTGCTCTGGCTCATGTGAGGAAAAATTTGCTGCCAGTGTGGAGCTCTTGAGAACTCCTAGCACATTTCCCTATGAAGAAAGAACTTGACAATTCTTCTGTTGTCTCTGTCATTATCTGATCTTCGTTTCTTACCAAAGAAGCTCAGTTATTATCCTGATTAGTGGCCCGGTCCTCTTCTCTGACAGGTGAGGGGTCTCTCTCTCCTTACTGGTGAATGGAGAGAAGCAAGGGTTTTCCCTCTAAAGGGGACTCAGAGGAGCTTGCTGTTTCTCTCTGATTTCTGACCTTGGAAGTAGTTGGTTTAAACACAATAAAAGAATTTTGTAACAACAGCCAAGATATGGAAGCAACCCAAGTGCCATGCCCATCAACAGACAAATGGATAATGTATACAATGAAACATTATTCAGCCATTAAAAAGAATGAAATTCTACCTTTTACAGCAATGTGGATGGGCCTAGAGAGTATTTATGCTTGCTGAAATAAGAGAAAGACAAATACTGTATGATATCACTTATATGTGGGCTTACCTGGTGGTTCAGATGGTAAAGAATCCACCTGTAATGCAGGAGACCTGGGTTTGATCCCTGGGTTGGAAAGACCCCTGAAGGAGGGCATGGCAACCCACTCCAGTATTCTCGCCTGGAGAATCCCCATGGACAGAGGAGCCTGGTTGCCTACAGTTTATGGGGTCACAAAGAGTCGGATATGACTGAGCGACTAAGCACAGCACAGCATCACTTATATGTGGAATCTAAAAAATAGTACAAATGATGTACATGCAGAACAGAAACAGACTCACAGATATAAAACAAGCTAGTGGTTACAGAAGGGAGTGGGAAGAGATGGGCACATTAGGGTTATGGGATTAAGAGATACAAACTATGTAAAGTAGATAAGCAACCAGGATATATTGGACAACACAGGGAATTATAGCCATTATCTTGTAATAACTTTTAATGGAGTATAATCTGTACAAATACTGAATCACTTTGCTGTATACCTGAAACTAATAAATCAATTAGACCCCTATAAAAAGGAATTTTGTAGTTAATCATTAGTTATTCTTTTACCTATTTTACAAGTATTTTACATCATTTAATTTCTGATTACCTTTTTAAAGTTTTATTTTATTTGATCAAAACAGCAAATGGAGAATAACTTCAGTTTTTTTTTAATTAATTTATTTTTTTTTAATTTTTTATTTTTTTATTAGTTGGGGGCTAATTACTTCACAGTATTGTAGTGGTTTTTGTCATACATTGACAAGAATCAGCCATGGATATACATGTATTCCCCATCCCGATCCCCCCTCCCACCTCCCTCTCCACCCGATCCCTCTGGGTCTTCCCAGTGCACCAGTTGTTTCTGTTGTGGCCATTTTTCAAGATAGATTTTTTTTTTCTTTTTTTGTTTTTAGTAAAATTGGTTAGATTTTGCTTCTGATAATCTAAATATTTCAAATTCTCTGTTGTTTGGCTTTAGTTTTACTAAGCTATTTTTGCTTATTAAAGAAAATTTAGCCCAGATATGTAGAGATAGCAGTATTGGAAGAGACTAAAATCATTCTGATGGCATAAAGCAGAAAACATTAACTAGGAGGCCAAGAAATCTTCCTCTTCATCTAGGCATGTTTGGAGAATTTGACAGGAAAGCAAGTGGCAAAGTTATGTCTATTCTGACAGAAAGTCTGTTCCCTTTGTTGGCATAAAGGCAGAGACTCTGTATCTTTCAAGAAGAACCTGCTCGAAAAAATTGAGCTCTTTGATAGTTTTGACCTGAAAGAGATTTTCAAAAGCTCTATGCATCTGATTATACAGGTAATTTGTGAGTTCTAGTGTAAGCTCTGTACCACGGCATTGAATAATGGTCAGGTACCAACTTATAATTAATATCTGCCAGGATTTACAGCCTAGGAGGAGGTGGAAGAAATAGCCTTGTTAATCCATCCAGACAGTGTGTAAAATAAATTTTTATACCTTTGTAGCAACTTCAGAGAGCAATTTACAGTATTATGTGTGGGTTTCATAGAGGCATCTTTCTTTATCCTTGGTTTTTCTCTGGGAACATCTGTCACACACTGTTCTTTTTATTTTATTTACTATTATACATAAGCTATATTTTAGGCTTTGCTTGGTACTTGAGAAAGCCCAGGGGATATTTGCTTTGCTGTTATATTAAACTTCTTAACATAGTCTGATAGTTTCAGAAAACTAAGAACCCTTAGGAGGCAGAAAGACTAACTAGCCTGACAGCAAAGAAATGGGAATCAGAAACTCTAGGACCTTAAACTGCGACCTTCTCATATATAAAATTAGCTGTTCATTTAATTAATACGCAGCCACCATCCTCAGGATATACTGTACTTTTTGCAGATAACTGGAAAGTTTAAAATAAAATAATCTAGCTTAAAATACAGCTGTGAAACTAGAGTCTTGGAGCTGGAAGGGATTTTAGAGGTTATCTTATAGCCAGGCATAGGAGTCCCTTTTATATATAGGGACCCATTTTATATATAGTCGCTTAAGTATTTCAGTGGCAAGAGGCACCTCTAAAAGCTAACCACAGTTATTAATCTAGTCTCAATAATCCAGAGAGAGTGCTAAGGAAGCCTAATAGTAATAACTCTTTACTGTAATGAAAAATAGTAATCAAAAGTTTTCAAATAAAACACTGTCTTAAATGCCTTTCTGTCCATTAGTCCCTCATAGTTTGTAACTGGTGTCCCATTAATTCTTGAAATATCTCTGATATTTTCATTTATGTTTGTTTGAATTGCGGAGGGGGGGACAACTGAGACCTGTATTGGCTTAAGGGCTTTGATTTGCTCAGCATCAAAGCAAATCAGTAATTAGAACTGATCATTTCTTACTCTCTTCCTTGTGTAATCCCAGGATTTTCTCTGTTTTCCCTCTCCTTTGGCCCCTAGGAAAAAAAGGAGAGAGAGAGAGAGAACATCAGCTTGATGATGATGGATACTGATCCTAGTACATCAGTTAGAAATACTGCTAGCGTCTAGTCACTCACATTGCTTTGATGTTTCTTTCATCCTTCAGGCTTACTGTGGATTTCTTCGTCCTGGAGTTTCTTCAGAGAACTTGTCTGCAGTAGCCACAGGAAACTGGGGCTGTGGTGCTTTTGGGGGCGATGCTAGACTAAAAGGTGAGTGAGTCAGTTGTTATAAGAAGGATAATAGTTTTTTGACTAAGGAATAGAGTTAGTCCTTCTAACCAGATTTCTATTGGTCTATCATAATAAGGGACCACAAAAATCTAAAAGAAAAGAAAAAGAATATTTGATACAGTCCTTCTTTTATTGTGTATGCAGGAATCTGTATTTTTATTTTTAAATCTGTATTTTTATTCCCTGCAGAGGTTACTTATCTCTTTGATCTATCAGGCACAGCATTTAGTTGAATAAAGAGGCCAAAATGACTATGAAGTTTCAAAACAAACCACCCATGCAAGCACATTCCTTTAGAGTAGTGAATTTTATGGACAGGACTATTTCATTGAGTGACTCGTTCATTCACCAGACTTATGGCAGGTCTGCCACTCTAGGCACTGTGGTAGGTTCTGAGAATACAAAGGTGTATTCTCAGAGATGTGGTCCCTGCTTTGGAATTCATGGTCCAGCATGACCGAGAGAACGGCATGGACAAATGCAACATAGAGAAATGAGTGCTTTAATAGAGGTGCATGATGTGTGGGCATGCAGCTTGGGAGAGCTGCATGAGGAGGCATTTGGTACTCAGAAAGGATAAACATTTCTTGCACTTTAGGTTTGTACCTATCAACAGAGCTATTGGTTATTTATCATATTATGACGTTTTTTTTCCTCTCAAGAGTGTCAGTTATAGAAAATAGTATTATATTATTACATAGGATGACTACTATTCTGTATCAACCCAGCTAGTCTGACACAAGCTGAGGGTGCCATAGGACAGTCCTGACCTGCCTTGGAGTTAGTGCCGACCCTACAGGGTAAGGGCACACATGCTCCACTAGAGCACCCCTACTGCAGACTCAAGCTGCAAGTCTGGGGTTGGGCTGTCCTGTGCAGGGCCACCCGCACCTCTAATCAACCAGCTACCAGTTGGGAGGTTCCCACAAGCCCTCTGAGGTTTGACCATTTATTAGGATAACTCACAGAACCCAGGAAGGTGCTGTTACAATTTTATTATAAAGGATATGTGTAGTGTGAGATGGGAAGGGAATCCAGAGATTCCATGCCCCTTCCCTGTGCTGTCAAAGCATATCAGTTTCCCAGCACGTGAATGTGTTTGTCATCACTATCCCAGTGTGTTTGTTTCCCATGAGTGTGTTTGTTAAGAAGCTCCACCGACCTTTGGTGTCCAGAGTTTTTATGGGGGCTTCATTACATAGGCACCGTTGGTTATCACTGGCCATGTTCCAGTTCTCCCTCTCCCTAGAGTTCAGTGACTGAAAGTACAATCCTGAAGCAGTCTCGAGGCCCACTGGCAGTCCCTGTCATTAGCATAACAAATACTGTATCACTCAGGTCAGTTCAGTTCAGTTGTTCAGTCGTGTCTGACTCTTTGTGACCCCATGGGCTGCAGCACGCCAGGCCTCCCTGTCCATCACCATCTCCTGGAGTTTACTCAAACGCATGTCCATTGAGTCGTGATGCCATCCAACCATCTCATCCTCTGTTGTCCCCTTCTCTCTCCTTCAATCTTTCCCAGCATCGTGTCTTTTCAAATAGTCAGTTCTTTGCATCAGGGGGCCAGAGTACTGGAGTTTCAGCTTCAACATCAGTCCTTCCAGTGAACATTCAGGTCTGATTTCCTTTAGGATGCACTGGTTGGATCTCCTTGCAGTCCAAGGGACTCTCAAGAGTCTTCTCCAATACCACAGTTCAAAAGCATCAATTCTTCAGTCCTCAGCTTTCTTTATAGTCCAACTCTTACATCCATACATGACTACTGGAACAACTATAGCTTTGACTCAGGAAATGGAAAAGGTTTTGAAGCTCCTGCCAGGAACCCAGGACAAAAATCTGACAGATGTTTTGTTTATACTACAGTTATCAAAGTAACAAGAAAACAAAGCAAACATATAAAACAGCCAACTGGCCTTGATAGCTAAACTTAGATACGGATGAAATCCTTCTCAAATCCTTCTCATTGAGAATTTCTCTGTAACAGTTTGTGTAATCATTTGACCTTAGTGGAATCACACTATGTATGCTATGCTCTGACCTCCTTTTTTAGAAAACCCTATAGTCTCATGATGGCTTGCAACACCAAAAACTGTCCACAATTTTTAATAGCTACATACTATTCAGTTGTATGTACCTATATGCCATTGTTCATTTCAGCAATTCTCCATTCATACAGTTTTTTTTATTTTATATAAGCAATACTATAATATATAATTATATATGTTATACATAATTATTTTCTTAGGGTTAATTCCTAGAAGTGAAATTAATGACTCAAAGGATAGGGATACAACATATTTTAATGTTTACCACAAATGGTTCTTCTGAAAGGCAGTATCAATTTACAGTGTCTTCTTTGCAAAGGTGATCTCACCACTATAGGGTTTTGTCAATCTTCTTAATTTCTCTGAGGTTCAATAGTTTTTATATGTTTTATTGGCCATTTTTGTTTTGCAAATTGCTTGTTCATGTCATCTGCTCATTTAGCTTTTAGTCAGTAGATTTGGTTTTCACTGGCTTGTAATAACTCTTTGTATATTAAGAAATATTAATTATCTGTCATCCAATTTAGCAACTGAATAACATATGTTACAGGTATTTTTCTCTGTTTTTTCATTTATTTCAGCCTGTTGAGTTGTGATCAGCCTATTGTCATATGGGGTTAATTTTTATATGTTTACATTTTTGTGGCATGCAAAAAAAAATTTCTTCTATTCCTTATTCTAAAGACTTACACAGACATTTTCTTCATATTCAAAAATAAAAACCACATTATTAGTTTCAGTGTTTTGAATGTCTATAGAAGAAAGAATTTCTGGTTTTTATTTTATGAAATTCTTTATCACCCTGAATTTATTTGAGGAAACGTGTTTTTCACTCTGGACTTATTGATCTTATGACAGACACTTTTTTCTGTTTTTCTCTTAAGTAAAATAAATGAGTAGATTCATATCATCAATCCAGAAGCCAGGTCTGCCACAAGCTTTGGTCATTTGTGATGGACAATTTGGGAAGCTTTATAAATGTGTTCATTTTGTTTCTTTTCTTTATGGTGTAAAAAAGCCTTTCTCTCAGACTGCAGCTTTGCTTGCTCTGGTGACTATTGAGGGTAGTATTCCAAGATTTTCATTGTGTAATTTATTTTCACAATTATCAACAATTTCTTTTGTGAGCATGTATTTTTTTTTCCAGTTTTATTTAAAAATAATTGACATACAGAACTATACAAGTTTAAGATGTCCAACATAATGATTTGACTTACATCATGAAATGAGTATCAAGTAGGTTTAGTGAATATCCATCATCTTATATAGATGCAACATTAAAGAAGTAGAAAAAAAATTTTTCCTTGTGATGAGAATTCTCAGGATTTATACTCCCTTTAACTTTCATTTATAATGTATAACAGTGTTAATTATCATGTTGTACATTACATTCCTAGTACTTATTTATCTTGTAACTGGAAGTCTGTACCTTTTGGCTACCTTCATTTTATTCCCTTTCCCCCCACCTCCTACCTTTGGTAGCCAGAAGTCTGATCATATTTTCCTATGCGTTTATTTGTTTTTAAAGTATGATTGACCTATAACACTGTTAGTTCTTGGTTCACAACAGTGATTCCATGTTTCTATATATTTCAAAATGATCTCCATGATAAGTCTGGTTGTTTTCTGTCACCATGCAAAAGCCTTACATAATTACTGACTGTATTCCCTACACTGTACATTCATACCCATGACTCCCTCCCAACTCATTCTGGCAACCACCTGTTCGTTCTCTGTATTTGTTACTGTTTCTGTTTGATTATGTTTGTTCATATGTTTTGTTTTTAGATTCAACCCATAAGTGAAATCATACAGTATTTGTCTTTGTTTGGTTTATTTCACTTAGGATGATACATTCTAGGTCCATCCATGTTGTTGCACAGGGCAAGATTTCATTGTTTTTTTATGGCCAAGTAGTAGTCTATTGTATATATACACCACTTCTTTATCCATTCATCTATTGATGGGCACTTAGGTTGCTTCCATATCTTGGCATTGTAATAATGCTGCAGTGAACGTAGGGGTACATATATCTTTCAAGTTGCATTCAAGTTTTCTGGAGAGAGTGGAATGGTTATTATTGGACTTCAGAGATACCACTGAGTTAATGGATTTGGAAAATGGCTCTGGAAACTTTTTTTTTTAACTCTCTGGGAGCTGCTGATAATCAGCCAGGTTTAAGAAATACTACATTCTCTCCTTTAGTGTTGCATAGTTACCCTTCAATCTGTGGCCTCATTTTTAAGATGAGGAAACCAAGGTTTTATGCAGAGGCTAATAAAACTGCCCAAAGAAACACAGCTAACAATCAGAACCAGTGTTCATATTTGGCCTATTTTCCTCAAAAACCAGTATTGTGGTTGTGGTTGTTATTAGACAACATGTTGAAAGCATTCTGTGTTGTACTAAGTGCTTTCCTTAGATGTATTAGCTCATAACAGCCTACTAGGTATCAGGTATTTTTGTCTTTGTGACATAACTGAGGCAACGAGGTAAATAACCTCAGGTCACAAGGAGAGCAAGCAGCGGGACTAGGATTCAAACCAGGATTGATGCCCAAGAGTTCAGTGTCTGTGCTTTTACAATTTTCATCTTTATTGGCCACAAATTCTGTTTCTAGATTTAGATTTGGAAATTGCCATTCTAGAGATGGTGGCTGAATTCTTGACGTGAGTACATTTAAGACACCAAAGATTGAGGCTTTCCTAATATCCACTGGAGGATGGGGGTGGTTGGTAGGGTCACATGGTACCAAGATTAAAAACAGTAGCCAGGGCTTCCCTGGTGGTCCAGTGGTTTAGAATCCACCTTGCAATGGAGGGGAGACAAGTTCGATCCCTGGTCCAGGGAGATCCCACGTGCCACAGGACAACTAAGCCTGTGCACCACACCTGCTGCGCCTGTGCTCCAGAGCCTGCGCGCCACAGCTGCTGA